TAATGGTTAAAGTCTCCTAAACTATAATAAGAGACAGTTCCATTTTCATTAAAATTAGCAGCAAATTGTCACAAATGGTATGTTATGGGAAAAGATAATCAGAAACCTGCCACTTATTATTAGAAAGTGGAAATTCATACTACTGACTTGTGTACAATTAACTAGACACCTCAATGAGCAGTCAGCTGTCCTCACTTAATCTCTGTCAATGCAGATTAACAGCACCCTTGAAACACAACTCAGTGTACCTAGCTCTAAACTGCCATATGAACTCTTATGAACTCAAAGTTGAATATGCAGGTAAGATGTGCCTACTATAAGGAAACACGAATGCTTTTCAATTCCATCATGTAAATCACAGGTTGATTAAAAATATATTAAAAAGAAACTACTTGCCTTCATCATTAAGCAGTAAAAATTATCTGTAATCAAAACGTATAATTAATAATCAATCACAAATTTCTTAACAAAGAGTTTATTCTGAATATTTGTATTTTGGAAATAATCATATTGAGAAACTCTTTTGGCATCTATTTCACATCTCCTTGTTATTTCTCAGTTTTTTACTGCTGAAAAAAAAAAATGTTTGCAAGTTTATTTAATGAATAACATACATGTTGTAGAGTGTATAGATATATGTTCTCCTGATATGTGTGCGTACATATATATAGAGAGAGAAAACAAAACTCTCAGCAAAATCTGTAAGAGATTTAAGCAGCACTAATACATTTCTATAAATTCATTAAAACGTAGTTTTAGAATTTCTTCACTATATCTCCTAATTTTCAACTTGTCAGTAAACCAGTTTCTTACGCACCTTGAGGTGGATGCTATGTCAAGCAAATGCTCATATGACAAAGAAGTTTTCATTTTCTGTTTTGTTCAACAAGTAGCCAGCTAACGTGACCCCACAGCGTCATTTGGCTCTTCCTGTGAGTACATCTTTTGCTTAATGCAACCCACACGAGCCTAAATTTCCGTAGCAAAGCACACATTCAGTGGACCTAATTAAGTGTTACTTCCCTCTTCATCTTGTCATTCTTTTCCTTTGGGAAAATAGATCTTTACTTGCTGTTATTTTTTAATAAATCAGAAGTAATACTATCAGAGTTAAATCAGACATGTAAGCATAAAATCCCATTGAGGAAAAAAAGGACATCTTTTCTGTACCCTGTCAGCTGGAAACCAACGTTCTTCTAAATCACAACATTACTGTGTTAGTATGGGATGTATAAGACAGATAAGCAAGTGTTATACAGCAGCCTAAGACACAGAAGTCTTCTAGTAAGTAACATTAATAAGACCCAACACCATAGGATTTCTTGATTATGACTCAGCACTGAATGGGCCTCAGTGATAACTGCTTTACGTAGTCTTGGAAGCAGCCCGTGAGATCCCCACCACACAGGTGGGAGTCTGCACCCCCACTGCCACATCACTTTTCCCAGCTACCTCCCTTTCTGTGCACAAAGCTTTGGAGACAGAATTGAAATTGATACAACAAACATACAGTACTATACACGAACCCTACAAAATATAAATCAGATACTTGTAGCTTTGCAACATTATCAGGGATTTCTAGATGGCAGATAGCAAAAACGATGTCTGCACATGCATACCAGAAATTTTAAGACTTCCAAGCTATCATAATTTTGGTAATCATTTAACATATCCTTCAAATTCCAAAAGAGCTGACAATAACCTGTGTTCCTGTGGAGTTCCTGTCTCAGTTGTCAGGTTTGCAAATAATGCGACTAAAATAAACCTAGCTGCATGTTCATGATCATTCCCACCTCCTCTCTTCATTTCAGTAATCCTGACTAATCGAGCAGTGTATGTGGACTGCCACTATGCACTGTTTTTTATTAAGTCCTTAAGGGGTTTTGTCACTAATTTCTTGCTAAAGGTCTACTCCGATCTACAAGAATGCAGAAAAGAAAACTAAAAGAGACTAGACTCAACCTCCAAAATTCAGTGCTAGGAGCTACCTTTAACCTTCATAGCAATTTAACCAAATGCATTTGGCATAGGCTAAAAATGACTTCATGGTCAGTGACTGCAGCTCTGCACACAGACAACCATTTATGAGGCTGCTCTGGGTGATGTGGCCACATCCTAACTGTGACATTACACTGTATGCCTTTACCAAACTATAAAGAGATGTTCCAAACAGCCGTGGTAAAGATTCATTGTCAAGCACTTAGGAGTTCGGGTTTTGTTGGATGATAAAAGTTTTCAAAAATGGTTTACAATGATTCAGATTTATATTTGTGTCAGATTTTGGTCCCTTGTACTTTAGGTTTTTACTGAGCTAGAGCTCATCAGCAAAAGATCCGACCCAGAGGAATATGATTACAGTGTTAACTGCTTGATCCTTTGGGTGGAGGAGAAAGGATTAATCTTTCCAACTTCTTATTTATTAAATACTATATTTAGATATGATGTTTAGCAGTACACTATCACCATATATAACAGAAGAACATGACAGATGAAAAAAATTGGTATGTATTCTGTGTAACATTTTAAACAGACAACTTAATTTTCAGAATTTTCACTAATTATGCAGACCCAGTAGGCAAATCTTAAGTCTGAGTATGCTCTACACAATTGAAAGTTTTGCTAAATCTAATCTCACATACAGAATTGAAATTGGTAGCAAATGGAATGCCTTTAGAAGGAAACAAATCCAGAAAACCCAAGTCTTTGCAATCTACTTCGTATTTGACCTCTTCATGTTTCAGTTTTCAATTACCAGGCCAAAGGAGCCAAAGTCAAAAGACAAATATAAATATTTGATATTTAACTTTGCCATTTCATTGAAGATTTTAAAATTAAAGCTACGTCTTGCAAATCAGCCTTATTCTGGCTCCTGATTAGACTACCTGGCTGCTGAACTCAAATCATGGGCTACACTGAACCTGACCAATATTATTGATCTAAGGCCAGACCCATTTTAGGGGTTTTGTTAATTGTTTTACTGTTTAGTTCTCAGCTGAACTCAGGCTGAGCACACCACACAAGGCATTACACACAGCTATCTTCCGATTTTCACAGGCAACTATAACACCAGGGTCATTTCGAGTTTCACGACACCTGTTTCATTATTTGTAGCTGCCAAGTAATGTATTGGCAGGTGTGTGCTGCACCACCTTCCCGTGTCACTTCAGCACCTGCGTCATTCATACCACCACACAGTGAAGAAATGCCTCTTCAGCTTCTTATTTAATAGATTCTGCACGTGCTGCCCCAAGGTACATACGTGCACTGCTTACTGCACACAGTGGTGGTAATTACACACACTATTGAGAACTTATCCTACATTTCTGACGGTCAAAAGCATTTGTCCTAGTAAGACAGTTATTTGACAAGGAAACAAAGTGAAACAAGCAATGCAGAATACATACTACATTAAAATTTTGTCTGTATTATGAAAGTTAACCTTTCTTACAATGAAAAGTTAAAAGAAGTCATCTTGAAACAAGATCATCCAGATCCATCTCATATAAATTGCCTTGCTGGGAGCAGATGCTCCATAGATAAAGACTTCTCATTGTTGCTGGTGGTGGTGTTTGCTGGTGGTTGTTGTTGGTTTTTTTTTCAGAATCTTAGACACATATTAGTTCTAGTTGTCATGCAGACCTGCTCTCTAAGAGGTTACTGTGACCCGTTTGTATTGATCTGCATGCAGATAGGAGTGAACGTTGACATTTTGTGAGTACTTTTATGTTTTCACAGACAGCATTTTTCATAGAAACCAGAATAAACTTGGTTGGTTAAAATTCCACCTACTTTACCAGTTACAAAAAAGGGATTTAAATCTGCTAGAAGGGCTTCCTTCAGTATAAAAATGATGACCAGGAAGAATAAAGAAATTGCACACTACCAAAGTAGTAAGATATACCTGCAGAAACAACTGTTTTCTAGAGGGCAGTACAAAAACAAACCCCTTGTTACAAAATACTTGTTAAAACGGACATAACCTTATTTTCATATCATTACTTTTCTTCACTGGCAGTTTATCTGAAACTGGAAGGGTCTCAAGAATTCTACTCCCAGATAAAAAGCATAAAGCTCTACTCTGAGCTGTTCTCAGAATTGTTTATCTACACTCATCAGAGCCCAAACTATATCCATAAGCCATAAGGAGATGGCATACAAAATTATGCCCAATCAGAATCATTTAAAATATGACCTTAATTTAAATCATAATTTACTATGAAACACTGAAATAATAGATTTAGTTGTGTCTCAAGATGACGTATTTAGTGGCAGCAGTGGCTTGAGGTGTTATTGCTTGTCTTTGGTGATCTTCCTCCTCCAGCATTAATGAACTCTGTTGTTATAGAAGAAATAGTTTGTGCAGCCACACAGTTCATTGCACTGGAGGCCTGATCTGCCTTGAAACTAAGCCAGAAGAAAACCTGGCAGGTTTTTTTAAATTATTATTATTTTTTATTTTTTTATTTTTTATTTATTTAAGTAAATGAGTTTCCAGATTCATTTCTGAGTGCAGCTGCACAAATCATTGGGCTGGAACAATTGAAGGGGTAGTAAACCACAGAAACCAGCAGCAGGTGGCACAGGAGGTGAGGCTAGGTCAGTATTGCTTCCAAACACTTTCCTTTTCTGTATACAGCCTCAAGTCTAGTCAGAGGTTCATTTATATAATTCACTTATCTTCAGACTAAGTATACTGGCAGGAATTACCTCAGTACAGACTGCAAGACATCATAACAAACTTAGGTAAATTTGCAACTGGCTTGCTTGCACTGAATGCCATGCTATAGTAATAGTGATATCAGTTACACAAGGGTCTCAACATTAAAATAGCCATCTATCAATAACTCAGACTTAAGTTAATGTTTCCTTGCATATGTACAAACAGCAGTCACAGCTTTGGATGAACATTTCCTTGAACGCTTGCATCTTCTATTTGAGGTGAAAAATATTTATGCTTTTAAAATGAGAGGTCTGCAATAAGGCCAGACTTAAATACTCACTCATTCTGCAGCTCTAAAATACTGAAGTAAAGGTGACTCCAAACTCAGATTTGCTATCTCTACTGTAAAGAAAAAGAAAGAATTGTTTGAAGAAAGATTGCTGAAAGCTTTATTCTCTTATTAATATCAATATGGCATAAATTATAAAACAGCAAGTAAAAGCCTGGGATAAAATACTCTATAATCAAAAAACATGCCATAGCATTTTTCATTCTAGGAAAGAGCACACTGTACCTGAGTACCACATAACAGCATCAATTGCATTTTTAAACTTATATTTAGAAAGCTAAGCAATCTGGCAAGACTTGAACAGACTTCCTAATACCTAATGCTTCAAAAATAGAGTTAACTCTGCAAGTGCAACTTTGTTTTATTAGAATTGGCCATAAAATGTATTTTCAGTAACTATTTCCCTGTTAGTTACTGCTTGACAGAAAATTCTTACCATTAGAACATTCTTTCAGAACGGTGATTACCATGAGCACTATGGACTACAGTGCCATCCAGTGGTAAATTGCCCTTTAGAAGCCACCTCTATGTGCTTCTGCCACATGTTAGCCTTAAACACATTCTGAAAAACCACGAAGGCCAAAAAATATCAGAAACAGTAAAAAGAGCGCATGTGCATTTATTCTGCACGCTTTCCATATGCATCTTTTGTCACAGCATCACTGATAGCTGAAGCTTCCATGTATAGATGGTCCTTTGTAGATGGTCCTTTTCTTTCTAGACAGAGCTTTGGCAGATCATTTCTTAATGCTAGTGCAGCTAGCTAAACTTACGTACTTTGACAAGGTTATATACTGTGAATCAGAATATATTGGGATGAGGATGCAATGTTTCCTAGGGTAGAACGATTTCAGTGAGGGACTGCCTTCCACTCTGAAAGTGCAAAAAGGGTTCTGTCCTGAGATCAGATTTTCAGTTACTCAATCCTCCATTATTACAAGGAGGTAATTACACCAGTAATGCTTTTAATCTCCTCCACCTTCTTCCTGCAATGCTGAGCAGATTTTGCAACTTTTAGCATTTTGTAAGGTAGATCTTAGGTTCCATGCAGGCTGTTAGGAAACTCTCCGCAGTGGAGAATGCAATTTGAGGACTAAGTATCTCTTAAGTGCTTGCGTACATTCATAGAGGACAGTCCTCTGATTTAAGTGGCCATTTTGGGCCCATATTCTCTACTGGAATATATTTAAGAGCTTTGACTCTACTGTGATGGGCATCCAAAAGCATAGAGCCTGTGGAATCGAACTCAGCATTAGTTAGCATGTATTTTCCCCACTGACTTCAAATGAAATTATAAATCCATAAATTGGACCTTCTAGTAAAATTTCCAATCAATACCTTCCTATTACCCATTCTATCCCAATCACTACTAGACAGTGGAATGAGATGCACTTTTTTTTTCTTTTCATTTGTACTATTTCATCTTGAGAAGGAGATAGTTTAGAATTCACTGAGCAAACTTACAGAACCAGCCAAACTGATTTCCCATGCAGAAGCACAGAAATATGTTGCCACTGAGAAAAGCATATTCACAATTGAGAATGGAAAGGAATAGTATATAAAGTTAAGTGACTCAATTCTTAATAATTCTCCACTGACAATATGTTTTCAAAAATAGACTAACAGCCTTAAGACCCTATACCAAAGGAAAATAAAACAGAACTTTCCTTATTATTTTATTGAGTGCGTCAAAGACAGTCCCTTTCCTGCAGGGCCAAATTTAGAAAGAGACAGCCTACGCACGAGACTACAGCACTGGCACCATGATGACTTCTTCATAAAATGAAAAACCATGGCCATCACTGCCATACACAAGACAGCAACTGCTCTAGTACTTCTTTCAGAGCAGAAAACTGAGCAGTTAGGACATGTTACAGTCTCCTCTACATCTTGCCCTATCCTTTCCACCTTACCCATCTTTCCTTCCTTCCCACAGTATAGAAGCTACAACTATTCAGATTCTAAATTTCAGCCTTGTCCTAGGAGGGAGGCACTGCCTCTGATTGATGAGTAACACAGGATACTGATATAATTACCATTACTGAAATTATTTCATTTCAAAGAGGAAAAATTTTGTTTCTTCACTACACAACTAGCTCTGCTCCTACTCAGCTGTTTACAGCAATGCCTCCTTAAAGGAGACACTGACTAAGTAAACAACTTATGTATTTCCTTATCTTCATGTAGTATTAACAAAGAAGAGCAACACCAAGTGATTACTCTTAATGATGCATATGTTTCTTATCGCTACATGCGTTTTTATTGCTCGGTCTTCTCTATTAGAAACCATTTTAGGGCCAGGTTAAGTTACTACTTAACGGCTTGAGAACTACTTATGGCTTGAGAACTGGTAAGAGCCACGGAATGAGTTGGGTTAATTTTGGAGGCTACAGAGCTCTATGCTGATGTGTGAATCATGTTCCGGCACTCTTAACGTTACCTCTCCGATACTCAAGTTTAGGCTGACCATGGTGACAAATCTACACAAACACACTGCAGATGAGACACAAACCCATGACCTCCCCAGGTCTGAAGCAAAGGTGTACACTATGGCACACAGTCATAGCAAGCAGATGGTGACATCCAAACTATTAACATGGAAAAGTTGTCACCTGGTGAACTGCATAAGAATAGCCACACATCAGGAAATCCGTGCTGCTAGTAAAATGTTTAGATTTTTAGTTTGCCATCAGAAACATTTTTTTTCCATTTGCATCTCCTTTTCACTACTACCACTAATGTTCAGTTTCCAGTCTGCAGCTTCTTTTGCCCCTGATCCCTTGCCACCATGTGAAACCACCCACGTTGTGGCCTTGCTCCCTGCAGGGCCGCAGCTGCATAGCAAGCCAACAGAAACCAGCCTCTGGTGGCTGCGACTGCTCTCTAGCTGATTTGGCAACCCCAGCATACAGCAATCCACACCAATTCCATGCCAACTCCTTTCTCTGTCACTCTGCAGATACAGATTCTCCCTGTACAACAGGCTATATCCATAGACTACTGAACCCAAGTGTCTTGCTGTTGCACAGCACTCCTTCCATCAAGGGGTTAGGTTTGCATGGCACTGCAGCAGATGCATTGTTGCACTGAAAATGCAATGATTCTGTAGCATTCAGGGTTTAATGCCATTTCCCACAATCATAGCCCTGAAATGCCTTGGAGCAAGCATTATTGGTATTTGTGTTTTGGATCATAGAATCATAGAACGGACTGGGCTGAAAAGGACCATAAAGATCCCCCAGTTTCAACCCCCCCGCCACGGGCAGGGTTGCCGGCCACTAGATCAGACTGCCCAGAGCCACATCCAGCCTGCCCGTGAGATGTTCTGTTGTACACTGACAAACTGCAATTTGCTTTCTTGCACCTTTGTACACCTATGGTCCTCTGTTTATTTCCTCTTCAGCACAGCCTCCACGGTATTATCTGTTCTCATGAGGGGACAAGGCCAGGCGGATCACCTAAATTAGAACCCACAGGAGGGCTTGCTCAGCAACGAAATGATGCCATTGCTTTGAACATGTTTTCAAAGTCGTTCTCACCAAAAAGAGGCCAACAGTGCTCTCCAACAGATTCTTCATTAGATTGTAAGGTCTCTCAAGTAACCTGCCTATAACTTTTGAGTATAATATTCTCTATCTCTTAGCATACATAAAATCCCCAAAGTTTTGATAGAAATACACAAATCAGCATTTCATGTTAGTCTAAGTATCTAGATCACAAATAGATTCTTCACATTTGAACTCCTCTACAAATTTGGCCCTAAATGCATACTTGAGCATTGCATGCTCTGAAAATACAAGCACTGGATGGGAACTGCCTTTCAACAAATATCTCAGTGCTTAAATCTATTGCAGTACTGGGATGTGGCAGATCTGCACCCAGCTCTTCCCCTCCTGGGGGAAAAACATCTTTCACATCTCAACAGTGTGTTACTTATAATCTCCACACCAGGCGATAGGACCTCAGCCTTCCTTATCTACATTAAGCTGTTTTGCACAGATCAAACACTCACAACCAGCAGGACCAGAACTGGAGTTTCCTTTCCGGTTTCTAACACCTGGACTATAGGAATTTTCTCCTTAACCCATGTTGACTGTAAATGCTCTCTACAAGAAAAAGGGATCTGGTTTGCATGCCTCACTCCAGCAGGTACTCAGATCAGTGAATTCAGAGCTATACACTTTCCTGAACCCTTGATTTAGATGCCTAATGCTCCGATAATAGGAAATAAAATATTAAAGTTTCCTGTTCCCACTGCTCAGATTAACACAGAGACAGAATCTTGATCCTGACCTTGCATACAATTACATACATCAAGAATAATTTAATCACAGCAAAACTGATACCAACATCAGAACAAAATCAGAAGCAAAACAGACTATTCACACCACATGACAATGTCCAGTTGCACTGGATTTTGTTTGTGAACCTACAGGCTCTTCAGCGTAACCCAGGACTAATATTTGAATTGTTAGTCTTGCATGATGCTGTAATATTAGAGAAAAATCAAGGCAGAAATGAACTTTCCATATTAACAATCCCAAACAATCAAAACCAAACAAAATCAGAACAAGGAATGCCTAAGATGTAACACCAAAAGGACATATTGGAAGCTCAGGAGCTCTGTTTAACAAAATGTTATATTTCTGCTAAAAAAGGGGATGTTAACATAGAGTAATGGCACAAATAGATATAGTCAATAACATTAAGTGTGCTGAATGTTACTACCAAGCTTCCCCACTGTACAGCAGAGATGCCGCCTGCTAGAACTGGCTCAGTGTGACTACAAAGTTGCATTCAAAGTCAAACAGCAAAGAAACAGCACGTATCATATTTGCAGACATTTTAATTGAGATTTATGATGTTGGCTGATTTAAACTAGATCATCCCAAAATGCTGAATATTAACAGAAATGTAAATTAAAGACTTGAACAGTATTAATCTAAGTAAGTCATTTTATGGGCTTCAAATGAATTAAAAATAATAGAATTAGTTTCATTATTCTGTTAACATTCACTTTTAAACTCAAAGCCAGGCTGCTTCCCATTATTTTGTGGGTAGTTAGAGCCAAGGGATCATACAAAAATTACTAAAAAATCCCTACAACTTTTAGAAACAAAACGGCGGGTGCTTTCCCCTAATCAACAAGAATTCCAGACTCTTCTACATATGGAACACATTTGATGTTTTCATAAAGTGGCTCTATATACCCATTACATTGCTGTATCTCCAAAAGACACGTGAATATGAAGCACTACAAGATCTGAAGCTTGTTTAACAGAAACTAACATACAATTGTTTACAGTATCCCCCTTTTTTTTTTTTTTCCCCTCTGGAAGTCACTGCATGTAACAATACACAGAAGAATTCAATGCTATTTGCTCCAATTAGGTGTGCTTTTTGAAATTGGATTTACAATATATATCACTACTGCAAAATGTTCCTTTTATTTTGTGTTATTCAGTGGCAAAATATCCATTTGCTCAGGTAATGAGCTTTTGTCATTCAAGGCAATTATTTCTGTGACAGTAGTACACATCTAGCAGAATACGTTGCTAATTAATTACTGACCGAAGAACTCCGTAGTGATTTTCTTTATTACCATCCATTCAGGTGACACAAGTGTAAAAGTCTGTACTCCATCTTCCTTTGTAAAATATTTATAATTGTAATAATTCAGATGCATGCAGCTATAGCATCACAAGTATTGACCTGCTCCTACCTAGAGCAGGTTTACGCCTGCATGAAAAACGGTCATCCCCAGGAGCAGCTCTCTGGTGACATTATAAAGACTTATCTCTCAATATGGAATCACTGAAATACAGCAAGACTTCCCATACGTATTTGTAATTCTTAACCCTGAAATCACAGTGAAAAGGGATAACAGGAAAACTGTTGAATTTCTCTTTCTGTCCCCAGGTCCAAGAGGTTAAAGATTGACCACCTGTTCTCCAGATACAGGTACAGCCTCACAGCAGCCAGATTAGAAGAGAAGATACAATCCCTCATTCACTGCTGTTGCTAACAGGGAAACCAATCTTTTTCACTCACTTGACTGTGCCTCACCAGTTTCAAAAATCAGGTAAAGAGAAAGCAGCAGGTAAGGCAAAAATTCGTTTTTGCACCACATAGTAATGCAGCATCTGATTACCTAGGTTAAACCATTTATCCAATTAAGCCACTTTGCACCTTTTCTTTACTGCAGGCACTCCCACTCCAGGCTCCTTAGCTCGTATCTCTGGCTGCTCCTCACTTCCCATTTTGTAGCTAATGAGCAAGTCTCAAACAAGCTGGCATTTAGGGGCTGAACACTGAAATGTGGCCTTTTTTGGAGACTCTGGGAGAAAATTAAGAAAAGTGATGGGAAAGCTTCCTCCAGCAGGAACAGCCAGCCATGCAGGGGCCCCAACCAAGCTTACAGAAGGCTTCAGTCTTGAATGACATTGACATATCTCACCTGCTAACAGCTCTGCCATTCTCACACTGCTTCAAATCCATGCAATAGGGTATTTATAATCAAATTCACTAAAAAAAAAAAAAAAAAAAAAAAAAAAAGTCCCTCTCACAATCTCATTTTGGCTATCTGCAAGTACCAAGAATGCCAAGCCTGCACCAACCCTTAGATGAAAGACAGTCAAAAACCCAAGTAACAGTAATCTGAGAAACAGAAGTTGGCTGATAAGAGAACTCACTTTGGAAACTGTGCTGGAGCACTGTGCACGGGATAACCGCGTTCTTATGTATGGAACTTCATCCTGAGGCTGAGGAAGAAGCACGCTGACTCTTCAATACAAGATGTGAAAGCTGAAACTTCTCTTGGTGTCACATTTTTAAGAGGGTGCAACAGAACAGCATTTGGGATAGGACAGATAGTAATGGCTACAGCTAAGCAGGAATCCAAGAATGGAGGGCAGGTGAACAGACTCCATCCTGAGCTTCTCATGCCACACACTGCCTTTAATGAAGGGATGTGGAACAACTGACAAAAAAAAATAAATGCTTTTCCTCTACTTTGTCCGATTTAAGGGAAAAAAATCCAACAAAAAAACACCAAACTCCTTTATCTCCTGAGTACAGGGCGATACGAGCAGAGCCTGCACACAGTCAAAGCAACAGAGCTGCGCTCTCTCACCTGTGAGGGCAGCATGGCTCCGCGCGCTCAGCAAAAGCCATGCTCGGCCCGGAGCTCTGCTCACGGCCCCGTGTGCCGCCCTCCTTCCAGCGTTCCCTCGGGGCTCAGAAAGGAGAAGACGAACCCAAAGCCCCTACTGCTCCCCAGCGCTGTGGGGACCGCCCTACTTGGCTCCCGGCCCCAGATCGCCCCTCCGGCGGACGCGCTGTCCCTCAGGGGCGGAGGGCGCTGCCCAGCCGGGCGGGAACGCCGCCTCCGCGCCCCGCCGCCTCCCGCCGGCACAGCCCGCGCGCCCCTCAAACCCCGCTGCTGCGGCCGCCCCGGACGTCGCGTAGCCGGGGCGGGCTGCGCAGTTCCGGCGGAGAGAAGGGAGGGGTGACATGCAGAGCGGGCAGCCGGGGCCGCGGCGGCTGCAGCCGGAGCCGCCGGAGCAGCGGGTGCTGGGAGTCCGTGCCGGGCGCGGCGTTCCCGCCATGGAGATGGAGAAGGAGTTCCACCGGCTCGACCAGGCCGCCAGCTGGGCCGCCATCTACCAGGTGAGGGGCGGTCGCCCGGCCCCGCTCTGCCCCCGGCGCCGAGGAGGAGCGCTCTGCTTTCGGCCGCTCTCTGCCGCCGTCCGGCTCCGCTTCCCTGCGCGCGGACGGCGCCGCCTCCCGCTCCCCTCGCGGCTTTCCCTTCCTCCTTTCCCTCCCCGCCGCTGCTGTGCTCTCCTTCCCCTTTCTCCCGGCGTTCAGGAGGCCCCGCGCCGCTCCCCTCTCGTCGTGGCCTCGTCCCTCGGCGCGGCCGCCCTTCGCGGCCTTGTGAAGCTGCCCGTCCTCGCCGTGCGGAGCGAGGCTCGGGGCCGCGGCCGTCATGGTGCCGTCGCGGTGCGCGCAGATAACCGGTCGGTCTCCGTAGTGATAGAACAGATCCGAAGAGCGGCTCGTTGGAAGCACTTGCGCGGTGATCTGGTGTTATTTTTTATTATTTTGCATTTAGCACATTTCTGATGTTTTTAAGCTGTCTGGCAAACACGGATGATTCTAAGGATGCCGGCAAGGTGAATACAGATTAACAGATACAGCTGTAAAGAGGTCTTCTGCCTTGAAAGAGTTCTTTGTGCGCTTATTCAGAAGAAGGTGTGAGAGGTGGGTGTGCGCAGTCACGTCAGGCAGCGCAGCCGTGAGAGCCGTCGGAATGCTTAAGCTGCAGCACTGCATATTCTGATAAATTCTGATTCCACGTTTGTTATGTAGAGGTGAGGCTTTGCATCCCTGTGCTGCGCGTTTCTCTGGCAACAGGCTTTAGAAAAAGGAAATAAAAAATGGAATTTTATGACAGTGAAATAAACGAGCTTCAACTTCACAACAACAGTATGTGAGTTGTGAAAGTAGTAGCTTTCAAGATGGGCATCTCCAGTTGTTTGGCAATGGGAAAATAAGCATTTTTTTCGTGAAATTTTGAATATTCTTTTCAGAAAAGTCATTTTTTTTTGGTAGAGGATTTCATTTCCTGCAGAGCCTCAGTGCTTGCTAACTCTGTATTGGTTGAAAGTCATGTGCATATATGATGTTGTGTTTTTGCTAAACTGTTTTTGATAGTTCGGTCTGTTGCAGGCTTAGCGCTCAGGAAATGATTTTGAGTAGCAGCATTGTAATGGAGGTGGTACACTCCTATGGGTACGATTTAATTACTGAAGTGATATCTGTAAGGAGCCATAAGGTTAATAACGAACGAGGAACTGTGGCATGTTTTCAGTGTAGCATTCAGTGATGGTTTTTTCCTGCTTTCTTTGAATGATGTAACGCAGTAACCTGCTCAGACTGTGCCACAGAGTGAGGTTTGATATTCAGTTAAAAAAGAAACAAGCTGAAGTGATTTGCTTCCAAATGTTGGCAGGCATGAGAGCTGGGTTTTTTGTTTTTTTGCTTGTTTTTTAAGGTTAGTAAGTATGTGCTTCTGCATCGCGTAACTCAGTTTCTAACTGCATCCTGCTTTTAAATATCAGCTGCTTTAAATGATGTTGTGGCAGATTGTGTACATCTAGAACAGTGTATTTCGCTGTAATCGTTGCTTTTGATGTCTTGGCAGTGATACGAGCAATGCAGTTTTCCAACAAATACCAATCTTTGCTTGAAGAATGGAGTTAAGTGGAATAATGTTTGTTACTGATGCAGTCGTTTCTTTCTGAAGAGTCTTTCTACAGGTTAATCATAGCATGTACTTGTACTATCTAGGTGTTAGGATCATGATTGCTAAAATCTAGAGGTGTTCACCAATATTCTGAATGAAACATAATGCAGTTTACTAGCAGAATCACTTCCTCTTGTTTCTTGGCTACATCGTTGATCTACAGATACAGGTGACATTTAGAAGAGGCATTAGGAGCACAACAGAGTGGTGAAGCTAACTGGAAGGATGGCTGCAAGGAGGCGTGTGTGGGTGCCACATGACTTTGAAGGTGTAAAATTTTCCAAGCTTCTTTTTTTGGACAAGGGAAAGCTATGTTCAGCTGCAATAATCACACAGTTCTGAAAGAATGTAAGATTTTTTTAAGTGTAAATAATGATAAGATAAAGACAAAAAGAATTCAAAATGAATTTCTGAAGGTATTTGTGACAATTCTGTCTCAGGCACCGTATGGTTGGTGGCACTGTGGTAGCTAGTTGAAACAGTAAATACTTACGATGTTGTCAGTGTTGTTGGTTTTTTTAAACATCCAGTGCCATCTCTTTTATTAGATTTACTTGCTACCAGAACTAGCAGCCATGAGACCTTGGAAAGGTTGTTCAGAGATCTGGTACTTCACAAGAGTTGGTCTGGTACTAATCTGTGTTTCTATTATGGAGAAATATACTTGGGTCTCATTTGATTGGTTGCCTTCTAACCTAAGCGTAAGAAATAATTTGAATAGTTAGCATTCTCACTCAAGTCCTCTTCCATAAAACAGCAATTTATAGGAAAATGGTCAGCAGCTTAATACAAACTTTTAAATGTGATATTGTGGTTCAAGGTGTGCAGTCTAGAAAACAAATACCTAAAGGTGGGTTGAAGGATATACATACTGCATAAATACCTTTAGGAGTACCAGTAGGATTGAAAAGCATTCACTCTGGAGATGTCACAACAAAAAGCAGTAGCCCAAAGCTAAGAAAAGAAGAGAAGGTTCTGGGGAAGCATCATTGCAGCCTTCCAATACTTGAGGGAAGCTTAGAAACAGGAGGGAGAACGACTTTTTACCAGGGCAGATAGTGATAGGCTGAGGGGGAATGGTTTTAAGCGAAAAGAGGGGAGATAGAGGTTAGATGTTAGAAATAAATTCTTTACTCAGCAGGTGGTGAGAGACATTGAATCTTCACTTGATCATAGTGAATTTGGTATCGGATTTTAGTGGTAATTCTGTACGTTGAAGTCTTTAATAATTTTGATTTCTAACTCCTTACCCACGTTAGTAGAATGAGATACTATCTTAAAAACGCAAACCTCAAATACAGGTTAAATTGCTTCTTGTGTTTATATAAGCCAGGTAGGTTGACGTTAGTATGTTGGCTAATGATATTAAGTCTGATGTGTTAATAACATTAAAGAGATCTGTGAATTATTTAGTATTCAGCTATGAATCCCACACAAAGCAGACAGTGCAACCCATGCAGACTTGATACTGCTGGTTTTCACTGAACTGTATGTATGGCAACTGCTCAAAATTAGTTTTCCATGTGAAGGATGCAGAATTCGTGCACTTTTTTCTCTTTTTACAGACAGTGCATTGTAAAATAAGAAAGAAGCGATCATCTGGATTTTCAGATATGTTCAGAATTGAAAGAACTGAGAATATTGGGCACTGTGCTAGATCTGCTGCTGTGCGTACCCTGGAAAACTGATGTATGGTTACAGTTAAGTACGGTTCAGTTTAATACCTGTAAGAGGAATATTATAGCTGTTCTCAGTTCTTCAAAAAAGGAAGCTTGGTGCTTTTTTGTTTGTTTGTTTTCAACTATTATTAATATAACTGTTACTTTTTCCCCAAATCTCCTAGGCTAAACTAAAATACTGCAAAATATACAAGTTAATAAACTTCACACAGGCTATGGGAGAGATATAGGAAGCAACCAAGGATGTTCTGAATATTTCTCTCTCAAAAGAGAAAAGACATGGAAAACTTTTTTATTGTCTCTGTGAGGTAGATTTCAATGTTGAAAGTAACAAGCTGTAAAATGGTTCGCCCTGTAAACTGTATACTGTGGTTGTGTTATATTTTTAAAGTAAATGCACAGGAAGTTCTACCAGTGTTTTCAGTTTATAAGCTGCTGTGAGAGTTCAGACTATCCTGCTGCAGTGTATAAGCATTTGTATTTCTCTTTTGCTCTAGTGCTATCAAACTTTAAACTTCTTTGGAGTACATAAACTTTAGTATGAGTACAGCTTATTCCAAATGCATCTTTGTGCCTGATTCTGCCAGTTCTTGTTCCTTGAAAATACAGGTCTCTGCATGCATGCCTTGCCACTTCTTAACTTGTGCTATTCAAGTTGATTCATTCAAGGTGTAGTTTAGTTGGCTCTCGTTATGGAGAGCTACCTTAGAATTGGTAGTTGCAGGGATTCTCTCTTTGCCTGCAATACAGCTAAGGATATATGCCATGTTTTCCAGTGCGTATGGCTGCTGAATTTTGATAGAACTGTAGGAGAGACAGAGCAGGTAACTGAGCCCCTGTGGCTTGTGAAGTCATTATCTTCTCTGCGAAAAAGCAAAGTTCACTTTCATTTACACGTGCTAGTATGCTTTGTGCTATTGAGAGTGTTCCAGGGCATTCGGCTGCATTGGCTAGTTGTGGTAGTCACCTTTCCAGGTAAGACTGATCATATCTGCTGATGGCAAACAGGAGATGGTGGAAGTCCTCTTCACCTGAGCTACTGAGCAGCTTAGTATTGCTTGTTTTTCAGAAGCTGGAGTCTAAAATATAAGTATTTGAAGTGTCCTTTCTTATAGCATTGCTCTAAGTAGATTAAAAATGGAGCCCATATTTCTCTATTGTAGCTTACTGCTAAGGGGTACAATTTGCCAAAAATCTGAAAATCATACCTGTGGGCAGTAAGTGCTATGCCTGCTACTGAGTGCCTTCAGAAGGATTTCAGGGTTTCAGAGGGTTCTTCCACATTATTTGTTCCTCTTCCTTTCTGCTTGTCATAACTGACAGTTACAGAGAATACAGCGTTAACCACATGCCAAATGATGTCGAATTCAAACAGAAATTGCACTTGCGAACAGAGACTCAAA